TCTTTGACCCATTGGTTTTTTAGTAGCATGTTTAGTCTCCACATGTTTGTATTTTTCCCATTTTTCTTCTTGTAATTGATTTCTAGTTTCATATCATTGTGATTGGAAAAAATGCTTGATATACTTTCTGTCCTCTTAAATTTGTTAAGAGTGTTTTGTGACTTAGCATGTGATCTATCCTGGAGAATGTTCCACGTGCACTTGCAAAGAATGTGTATTGTGTTGGTTTTGATGGAATGTACTATAGATATCTATTAAGTCCAGTTGGTCTAATGTGTCATTTAATACCACTCTTTGTTGATTTTATGTCTAGATGATCTGCCCATTGATGTAAGTGGGGTGTTAAAGTCCCCTACTGTTATTGTATTACTGTCAATTTCTCCCTTTATGTTTGTTAATGTTTGCTTTTTGTATTTAGGTGCTCGTATATTGGGTACATATATGTTAACGAATGTTATATCCTTTTTTTTTTTTCTTTTTGGCTGCGCCGTGTGACTTGCGTGATTGTAGTTTCCTGACCAGGGATTGAACCCACGCCATCAGCAGTGAAAGTCCTAACCACTGGACTGCCAGGGAATTCCCACATATCTTCTTCTTGTATTGATTCCTTTATTATTGTGTGATGTCTGTCTTTGTCTTTTGTTATAGACATTGTTTTAAAGTCTACTTTGTCTGATATGAGTATAGCTGCCTCAGCTTTCTTGTCACCTCCACTTGCTTGAAATATCTTTTTCCATCCCCTCATTTTCAGTCTGTGTGTGTCTTTAGCTCTGAAGTGAGTCCCTTATAGGCAGCATATAGATGGATCTTGTTTTTATATTCAATTAGCCACCTTTTGTCTTTCAATTGGAGCATTTAGTCCATTGACATTTAAAGTGATTATTGATAAGTATATACTTTTTGCCATTTTGTTACTTGTTTTTTATAGTTCTTCTTTGTTCTATTCTTCTGTTCGTTTCTTTCTTTGTGGTTTGATGATTTTCTTTAGTAGTATTCTTGTGTTCCTTTCTCTCTAGTATTTGTATATCTCTTATAGGTTATTGATTTGTGGTTATCATGGGGTTCATATATGTTGACCTGTAACTACATCTACTTGTTTTAAACTGATAATCATTTAAGTTCAAAATACATTCTAAACGATTTATATTTTTCATTCCTCTCCCCCACATTTTGTTTTTGATTTCATATTTTACATCCATGTTTCTCCCTTAACTGTTTACTGTAGTTATGGTTGATTTTACAATTTTTGTCTTTTAATCTTTGTGCTAGCTTATTTAAGTGGTTGATCCTCAGCCTTTACTATATATTTGCCTTTACTAGTGGGGTTTTTCTTTTCCTATATATATATTTTAAAATTTATTTATTTTTGGCTGCATTGGGTCTTCGTTGCTGCGCACAGGCTTTCTCTAGTTGTGGCGAGTGGGGACTACTCTTTGTTGCAGTGCCCGGGCTTCTCATTGCTGTAACTTCTCTTGTTGTGGAGCATGGGCTCTAGGCATGTGGGCTTCAGTAGTTGTAGCACATGGGCTCAGTAGTTGTGGTTCATGGGCTCTAGAGCGCAGGCTCATTAATTGTGGCGCACGGGCTTAGTTGCTCCGCGGCATGTGGGATCTTCCTGGACCAGGGCTTGAACCCGTGTCCCCTGCATTGGCAGGTGGATTCTTAACCACTGCACCACCAGGGAAGTCCCCTTTCCTATAAATTTTTACTTTTTATTGTAGCCTATTCTTTTCCACTTAGAGAAGACTCTTTAACATTTCTTTTAGGGCCTGTTTAGTATTGATGAACTCTTTTAGTTTTTTGCTTGTCTGAGAAGTTCTTTATCTTTCCATCAATTCTGAATAATAACCTTGTTGGTTAAAGTGTACTAGGTTGTAGGTTTTTTTCCCTTTAACACTGTAAATATATCATGTCACTCCCTTCTGGCATGCAAAGTTTCTGCAGAAAAATCTGCTGATAGCCTTATAGGGGTTCCTGTATATATGACTCTTTGTTTTTCTCTTGCTGCCTTTAGAATTCTCTTTATCCTTCATTTTTGCCATTTTAATTATAACATTTCTTGGTGTGGGTCTCTTTGGGTTCATCTTGTTTGGGACTCTCTGAACTTCCTATACCTGGATATCTGCTTCCTTCTTCAGGTTCGGGAAGTTTTCAGCCATAATTGCATCAGATACCTTTTCAATCGTTTTCTCTGTCTCTTCTCCTGGAACCCCTATAATGTGAATGTTGATATGCTTGATATTGTTTCAGAGGTCTCTAAAACTGTTCTCATTTTTTAAAAAAATCTGGTTTTTTCTTTGCTGTTCTGATTGGGTGATTTCTATTATTCTACCTTCCAGATCACTTGTGCATTCCTTTCTATCAGCTAGTCTGCTGTTATTCCTCCTAGTGTGTTTTTCATTTCAGTTATTGTATTTTTCATTACTGACTGGTTCTTTTGTACATTTTCTAGTTCTTTCTTAAAATTCTCACTGTGTTTATCTATTCTTTTCCCTAATTTAGTTACCATTCTTATTACTGATGCTTAGAACTCTGTATCTGGTAAATTACTTATTTCTCTTTCATTAGTTTTTTTTCCAGGGGATTTCTCTGGTTCTTTCATGTGAGACAGACTCTTCTGTCTTCTCATTTTACTTAACTTTCTGTGTTTCTGTGAAATTAGGTGAAACAAGTTACCTGTCCCAATCTTGAAGGTGTGTCCTTGCGTGAGAGCGTTCCTATACAATCTGTGTGTGCCCAGTGGCTTTGGTGTGAGAGCTGGCTCTGACGTGAGCATGAGTCACATCTTCCCCCAGGGTGTGCTCACAGCTCTCACCTTAGGGGGAGGTGGGGCTGGAGATGGAGGGGTTAGAGCTAGAGCCAGGTGTGAGCCAGAGCTTCTCCTATGCTCAATAGCCACCACCACCCTGTTGGGAGCAGGGGTGTATCTCAAGTTGCTGGAGCAAAAGCCCTCAGGGTCGGGTCCAAGCCTGTTCTGTTTCTTCTAAGTATGTGCTCTCCTCCCTCCCAGGACTGGCACCCTTGCCACCCTTGGCCAGTCTGCTGCCTCTGCATCCCCAGCAATAGCCACCCTCAGATGCAGTGTCGGGTCTGTTGCCCAAGTGTGCACTCTCCTTAGCAATGGCAGCCTTCACCCTAGTGGGGAGCTGCACCAGAGTTAGAGGGACTGGAGTGGGTGCTTGCTGTGGGCCAGGTTGCTTGCTGGGGCGGTCGCAGGAAACCAGCCAATGCCCCGGGTGGTTTCAGTTTGCTTCCTTTACTTCCTTTACTTTGTTTCCGGTAGTGTGCATGCTGTTCACGAGTGGAGCCCTCCTGTAAGTCCCACTGGTTTTCAAAGCAGCCAAGGGGACTCGTCTTCCTGGTGTTGGACTCCAGATCTGGGGTGCCCAATATGTGGTTTGAACCCCTCATTCCCCAGTGAGGATCTGTGAGCCCATGATTATCCCCCTCTTCTGTGTCCCCTCCTCTCGGCTTAGGTCCCAACATAATTTCTTCTCCTCCCCTCCTGCCCTACTCCTTGTGGATCTTTCTTTATAGCCTTGGTGGTAGAAGAGTTTTTCTGCCCCTCTCCAGCTTGTTTTTAGTAAGAATTGCTCCACATGGAGATGTGTTTTTTAAAAAAATATTTATTTATTTGGCTGTACCAGGTCTTAATTGCCTAGTGTGGGATCTTCGATTGTGGCATGTGGGATCTTTTAGTTGCAGCAAGTGAACTCTTGGTTGCAGCAGGTGGTATCTAGTTCCCTGACCAGGGATTGAACCTGGGCCCCCTACCTTGGGAGCTCAGAGTCTTAGCCACTGGACCACCAGGGAAGTCCCATAGATGTATTTTTGATGTGTTCTTGGGGATGTGAGCTCATTGTCATCCTACTCTACCATCTTTTTTCTACTCTTCCATCTTTATCTCTTCCCTCTCCTCCAACTTATTCTTTTTCAAGATTGTGTTGTGTATTATGTGGGTCTCTTGAGTTTCCATATGTTAGGATCAGTTTTTCAATTTCTACAAAGAAGCCAGCTGGGATTCTGATAGGGATATTTTTGAATCTATGGATAAATTTGGACAGTATTGTCATCTTAACAATGTTTTGTTTTCTGATCCGTGAGCAACGAATGTCTTTCCATTTATTTAAAGTTTTAATTTCTTCTAACAGTGTTTTGTAGTTTTCATAGTATAAGTTTTGTTCTTATTTTGTTAAATTCATTCCTAAGTGTTTTATTCTTTTTCATGTGATTGTAGATGGAATTGTTTTCTTAATTTTATTTTTGGTTTGTTCATTTTTACTATGTAGAAATACCACTGATTTTTTTTTTAAGTAAAAAAAAATTTTCTTCTAGTTTTTTGGAGATATAATTGGTATACAGCACTGTATAAGTTTAATGTGGACAGCATAATGATTTGACTTACATACATCATGAAATGATTATCACAGTAAGTTTAGTGAACATCCATCATCTCGTTTAGATACAAAATTAAAAAAATAGAAAAAAACTTTTTTCTTGTAAAAAAAATTTTTTTCTTGTGATGAAAATTCTTAGGATTTTCATCTTAACAATTTTTATATATAATGTACAAGTGTTAATTATATTTGTCAAGTTGTACATTATATCTCTAGTACTTATTTATCTTATAACTGGAAGTTTGTACCTTTGACTGCCTTCATCTAGTACCCGTGACCCCTGCCTCTGGTAACCACAAATACGATCCCTTTTCCTGGTCTGCTTGATCCTGACAGGCTCCACTCTGCAAATGTTCATGAGTTCTTTTCTCAGAAATCCAAAGATGATCCTAACTAACAGCATTTACTTTGCAGCATCCTTCTCACATTCCTCCTGAACAGTAATGTTGGTTATTTCAGTCTCTTGCCAGTGACTTCTGATGTCCCAGCAAATGGCATTGTCCCCAGCAGTGCTGAAAGGATAACTCCCGAGGGCCCAGCAGTGATACATACAACTAACACAGACTTGCTTGCACTCTGCTGGGTAGACCTTGAACAGGAGTGATGCCTCCAGGCAGGTGGTATGCTGTCCATCCAGCTCAGGCCAAGGCTTCAAGGGAGCGAGGACGCCTTCAGATGGTAAAGAAGGAAGAAGAGGATGAAAGCTACACTTCAGTGCCAGCTGCCAGACCACAGACACTCAATCGTCCTGGCCAGGAGCTGTTCCGCCAGCTCTTCAGACAGCTTCGCTACCATGAGTCTTCTGGGCCTCTAGAGACTCTGAGCCGACTCCAGGAGCTCTGCCGCTGGTGGCTGAGGCCAGATGTTCTTTCAAAGGCCCAGATTCTGGAGCTGCTGGTCCTGGAGCAGTTCCTGAGCATCCTGCCAGGGGAGCTTCGGACCTGGGTGCAGCTGCATCACCCTGAGAGTGGTGGGGACGTTGTGGCCTTGCTGGAAGAGCTACAGAGGGACTTCTATGGGACACCATGGAAGGTGAGTGTGAGCAAGCGTGCGGTGCCCAGTGAACTCTGCCTGCTCGTGAG